TTGTGCCTGAGTGAACATCTCTGGTGGGCTCCCTGTGACACTACAGTGAAGACAAGCACAATAAACATGAAGACGTATTTGAAAACCGTTCATTCAAAAGGACGGTCTAGGCAGGAGAGATGTATCATGGATAAATAAGAATCTGGGAAAACGCATAGGCTGATGGATGTTTATTCGGGGAGAAATCACTTACACCAGAAACAGATGGCCACCAGAGGTTCCTGTCCCAAGGATGCCTCTGGATGCTCTCTGTCTCCCACCAGAAAGCAAGAGAGAGCTGGGGTCCAGGACCCCAGACCTAGTCCCCCCAGGTCACGCCCGCACCTGTCTCCAAACCCCAATGGGCGTGGTCAGTGCATCAGGTGCAGGTGGGGTGGATGTCTCACTACAGGTCTCCTTCTAGTCTAAAGAAAAGATTTAGGCTTGAAACAAAACTATATACAAAGACAGTAAATATCAAGTATGCTCTAGGAAAAGGAAAATTAAGACCATACAAACTTGAGATCTATTGCCAGTGAGGTAATAAGAGCAAATGGCAAGAACTACATATCCAGTCCTAGGGCAAAGTCATAACAGAGGTCACTATAGAGTTGTCCTAAGCTGGAAAGCGTAAGTCTTGTACCTAATATTTCTATCTAGGAAGAGAGAACAATAATTGTGACAGTCTAATCTTCAACCTTATCAAAGACCCGAGAAGGAAGATAACAGGCCAACAATTCATAATTAACACAGTGTCTCTGTGTGACTGACATGCCTGTGCGACCAGGCTTGGGGGAAACTGCTCACAACAGAGATGACTCAGCTGGTGAGGGCACTTGCTGCCCAGATGGCACTTGAGTTCCATCCCTTGGACATACATAGTGGAAGGAAAGAAGACACTGTCCTCTGACTTCTGTTAGAGGTCCACAAGGGCTTGAAAGCATGCACACACGCGCATGTGCACGTGTACGCACACACACACACACACACACACACAAATAAAGGTTATAATAATTTAAAAGATTTGCAAGATGTCCTGAAAAACTCACATCTGCACATAGTGTGCTGCTGTAGAGGCCCCCTGTCTTATTATGACCACCCAGGGGAAGTGTTTTCTCAGGCTAAGACGCCAAGACCCTCAGAGGCAGCTTTAGCTGTGGTAATTGGGGGCCGATAGTCCTCCTGGCGATATAATTTGTCCATTGACAACTGCTTCAAACCCACCTAAAGGCGCATTTTAGTAGCCATCACTGCAACATCTGTCCTGATGTTCTGAGACCACAGTGGTCTGGTCTATTCCATTTGTTCACGGCTATGTGATCCAGACCCAGAGGGTTCCTGACTTTAATTCCCAGCAGCCACGTCAGGCATGCCACAACCCCCTGAAACTCCAGCTCCAAGGGATCTGATGCCTTTCTGGCCTCAGCAGGCACCTGCATTCATGTACACAAACTAACACACATGCACATAATTCAAAATTTAAAAATACATCTTAAAATTAGGATAGGCATTATATGAATAGACACTATTCCTTGAATCTCTTACTAGTTACATTTGAATCACATTCTCCTTCTTCTTCTTCTTCTTCTTCTTCTTCTTCTTCTTCTTCTTCTTCTTCTTCTTCTCCTTCTTCTTCTTCTTCTTCTCTCTCTCTCTCTCTCTCTCTCTCTCTCTCTCTCTCTCTCTCTCTCTCTCTCTGTTGATGCTTCAATACAGGGTTTTTTCTATGTTGCCCTGGCTGTCCTAGAACTCATTTTGTAGATCAGGTTGGTCTTGAACTCCCAGAGATCTGCCTGCCTCTGCCTCCCAAGTGCTAGGATTAAAGGTGTGAACCACCACTGCCTGGCACATTTTCTTTCTTTTGTGGCAATTTATTATTTAGTTTTATAGTTTTTATTTTTGTACTGGGGGTTGAACCTACAGGCTAAGAGAGCCACACAAGTTCTCAGACGTGAAACCTCTTCCTGAGGAACACATTCCTCTCCCTGACTACAGGCTTCATAGTATCCCTTTTCTCAGCATGAACTTCTTGGGGGAAGTTCCAATTTTTTGGTGACCACCATTTATAGTTACTATTATTTTGGTTTTTTGAGACAGGGTTTCTCTGTGTAGCCCTAGCTGTCCTGGAACTTACTCTGTAGACCAGGCTGGCCTTGAACTCACAGAGATCCGCCTGCCTGTGCCTCCCAAGTGCTGTGATTAAAGGTGTGTGTCACCACCACCCAGCCGGTGACCATTATTTTAATAGTCTGATGGCCAAAGAGATGGCCACAAGTGTCTCTTTACAAGATCTTCCTTCCTGCCAGAATGGTTATACTCTGCAAACATTCAGAGTCAACTCTCAAGGTCAGAGCTGAACTGAATGAACCTTGTAGTTAACTTGAATGGCAGAAGCAAGGGTCAGGACCATCACGCTGTGTAGGCGAAGGGCCAGTTAGGGTTCAGATGGACAAAAGGTCGGCAGGACTAGATATGTAAAATAGGCAGACAGACAGGTGGAAATTCAGATGGGCTGTGTCAGCAATGGAGACCAATCTAACCTGAGGCTCCTTCTGGGACAGTTCCGAGTTCTCTAGCTGAGGTTCCTGGGACAGAGTCAACCTGAGGCGGTCGATGATGGGTAGGATGATACCTTGACTGGGACTGCTTAGGTGTGCATTTCTCAGGCCTTCTGTTTGAATCTCTTTAGGACCCTGAAGAGGGACTTTGGGGCAGTCAGAGCTTCCCCCACCCCCCCAATGTGCCACATTGAATAATATGTTTTTTTCTCTGCTTTTCAATAACCACAGAGTCAGTGTTCTGAGGGAGATGAGTGTCACTCCACTACTGACTTGTGAGATAAATCCACGTCTTCACTATCAGCTGGTTTAAACTATTGCTTTTTTTTTTTTTTTTTAAGAGCACAGCTCCATGGCTGGTACAGGGGAAGAAAACGTCACTCAGCTTGAGGCATGGAGCTCCTTGCTTTCCTAGAATTGATTGTGACAGTGCTTTTCCTTGTTATATTTTATCTACCTGGCAGGGTTAGTGAACCTTGATGCTAGGTTAGAAAACTTTGACGATAGGTTTCACCCATGAGCAAGTTGTCTCTTGGCTGACTTTGTTATAAAACAAAACCTCACTTAATGCTGCCCAAGAGCCACGAGCAGGTGCGATCAGCTAATGCAAGATTCCCTTGGGGACATGGTCCAGCATGAGCTGAACAGGCACTATGTCTGTAAAATGGCATTTGTCATAATTAAGACTACGGATCTATACATGCGGTCCTTTCTGAATCATTGCGTTTTAATGTCTGTTTTATTTGGCTTTTCTCCACTTCCTTTCTTTTTTCCTTCCCTTTTCTTTTACAGCCCTGACTGGAACTCATTATGTAGCCAATGCTGGCCTCAGACTCACAGAGATTTGCCCACCTAAGCCTCTGGAGTGCTGAGGTCAAAGGCATGTGTCACCTGGCTTGCTATGTGGCTTTGGTTTGACACAAAGGATCTGTATTGGTGATAGTCACAGGAGAGAATTGTCCAGTCACGAAGCTAAGCTGTCTTAAGAATTAGAACTGAGTTTTCAGTGAGGGTCACAGGTGCCAGCCAGACCAGGGTGCCGAGGAAACCCGTCTGCCTAAGTAGAAGGACACATACAAACTTTCCATGATAGAAACCAGTTAAAAGAATGCACAACCACAGCATTAGCCTTCCAGAGGACGCTGGAAGGGAGGAATATTGTAAACTGAAGAATAGGAAAAAGCCAAGATGTTATAGGGGCAAAATAAATGGTGTTAGATACTGAGCCCCTTTAATAGTGCTCCTCATGTTGTGGTGACCCCCAGACTTAACATTATTTCACTGTAATTTTGCTGCTGTTATGGATCATAATGTAAGCATGATATCTGGTGTGCGATCCCTGTGGAGGTCATGGTCCACAGGTTGAGAATCACTGATTTAAGGCCTGCTCTACGGGAGGAAACACGTGCCTAGGACTGTAAATCTGGCCAAGAACCCTGGGCTGGGGAACTCACACTCACAAGTTTGAACTTACTGATACTAACTTGCTGAATGGACACAGTGTGTAACTACCCTCTAAATCGGCACCTCTCTACCTGTGGGTTAGTTTAGCTCCCACCTTCCTCAGAGACGTTTATTTGTGTGCTGTGGATGATGGCTAGTGAAGACACTCATAACTGGTCAAAGTTAGTGAGGATCTGAGGGTGCTCACCAACCAATAGGATGCCTGTATCACCCTCCAGGAGGCAGAAGGTACATCATTAGAGCCACAGGCTGGGGAAAACCAGAGCAAATCCGTGTCTCCTCAACATGATAGGACCCCTGCAGTCACGAACTCTGTGACATCTGTGACTGCCTACACACAGACAGCCACCGTTCTAGCACAGAGTGGGGAGGTGGCCATAAACCCCAACCACTGACTGCGGAACTATTGGCAGGTGACAGCTTCTCAGGGAGGAGAAGTTATTTTTCTGTAAGGATATGCCCCAGGTAGGTCAAGCAAGCTTGCTTAAACAGCAGCAGCAGCAAAAACATGAAGTTGGAAGGGGGTGGGGGAAATGGGGGGTGTATCTGGAGGGAGTAGGAGGGAGGAGCAGGGGATGAATGCGCTCAAAACGCATCGCATGAATATGTGAAATTGTCGAAGAATTAATAAAAATAATTTAAGTTATCACAAAATTATTTCAACAGCAATAGAAAAGGAGGCCACCAAAACACCCACACCTAAGGTTTTCTTCTAATGTCTATGTAATACCAAGTATGCATGTGCATATACACACACTGTGCATGGGAACACAGTCTAACATAGCACCCCCATACAAGCACACACACACACACACACACACACACACACACACACACACAACTAGATGAACACAGGTAAAGAATCGTTTAGTGCATCTTGATTTTCAGTGTTTATTTCCAGCAGTTTCATTTTATCTCCTTGAGGAAATCACTAAACTGGTAGAATTAGAATTAGAGTTCAGCGTCACTTTAGGACAGATTAGGAAACCAGGTGCTGTGGGAAGAGGGGAAAGTTGATTGAGTTCACCACTGTTCTACTTTCTTTTCTTGAACAAACTGCCCATGAGGCCCCTCTGCATCTGGGGGCAAAAGGGCCAAGTACACGGGGGTCTCTGCTCCTTCCTCTGGGCTCTTGGTGGCTTTTGGTCCCGCCATGTCCGTTCTCACCCACCCTGGGCAACAGGCGTTGAGGAGGATCTTGTCCCCTCTCCTCTGTTCGCTGAGTTTCCGGGCGTGGATTCTGGACAGGACCGTCACCCCAATCTTGGTGACGCCATACGCACTGTTAGGCCAGCCTTCTTTCTCATGAATCCCCTTCTTCGTGTCTCCCACAAACTTGTTCATGAGCCCCACCAGCTCCTCCTCAGTGATGGTCTCGCTTCGGAATTTCTGCTGCAGCTCCCGGCTGCAGTTTTTCAGGACATCAAGACTTATGACGCTCGACACATTCACCACTCTGCCTACGATGCACAACGGAATGGAAATGATGAGTTGCAAGAAGCAACGGGCTTAGCATAGAAAATCCCCACATGGGAGAATACCGAGAATGAATTTAGAGAAGAGCACCCAGCCAGAACCATGGTAGCGGAAGATAAGCTTGAGGCAGATCGACCAGGCAAGCGGCATTGGAAAGAGCGGCTCTCTGAGGTCTGCAAGCACAGCCTTGAGAAGTACGGGGGTCTTCTAGGGGTATGCTGGGAGCTTACGTTGTGAGATTCCAGGAGAGCAGAGACCAGGAGGGCAGAGACCAGGAGGGCAGATCCCAGGCAAGCAGACTTCAGGAGAGCAGAGGCCAGGAGGGCAGGCTCACCTTGGGGTTTTATTAGAGGGAGGAGCTCAGTGCAGACAGCTCGGGTACCAAAAAAGTTTGTTTTCATTGCTGCTTCTGACTGGATGTGGAAGTGGGTAGGATCCGTGCCTTGCGGGAAAGAAAGAGAACACAGACCAGGAGGGGTCAATAGTCAGAACTTGAGACAACGGTGGGCTTGCAGTCTAGTTAGGCAAGTCCTGATGGGTGCTGCTAACGAGAACGGTCCCCACAGGGGCTGGGACTGTTAGTTAAGGACTATGGTGTGTGACCCTGGAACAGTGTGTCACTGGGAGAGGACTTTGAGGTTTCAAGAGCCCACGTCTGTAGTGGGACATTTTTGTGGGGACCATCAGCTCCCCAGTAGTGACATGGAGACTTCTTAACTATGAACGCTTGGCCGATAGCTGAGGGTTCTTTCTACCTAGCTCTTATAACCTAACTTAACCCATTTCTATTACTTTATCTATTACTTCATCTCCATTGCCTATCCTGTTTGTGCTGTGTCTCTTGGCATCTCTGCCTTCTTCTTCCCAGCACACTCCCTGTCCTGAAAATCCTGCCGGGCTATTGGCCATTTCGCCTCCTATTAAACCAGCTAGAGTGATCCATCTTCACAGTGTACAGAAAGATTATCCCACAACACACACCACAGGCCTAGTCCCAATCTCTCTCCAATCTCAGCTCCTCCCCCAGCACCACGCCTGTCTGCCTCCCGCCTTGGTGATCATGGGCCAGCCCTCTAAAAATGTAAGCAAGTGCTCAGTTAAATGCTTCCTTTTTATAAAGTTGCCTTGGTCATTGTGTCTCTTCATGATAGGACAGTCACCAATAAGGAATCATGGTGCCTCTGTGAGGTTCCTGACTTCATATAAACTTGCAGAGGATCCCAGAGTCAAGCCAGATAACTGGTTAAGTCTCTTTGAGTGGAAACTTCTAGGCTCTGGTATAGCAGGCTACTGAACTATAGGTATGCCATATCATGAAAATATTCCGAAGAATAATTTAAGTGCTAAAATTATCTTGGGTAAAATTGGTCTCTGCACCAGCCCTAAATTGCTATACAATGTTACCCCGTATTGCATTGTTTAAGTGCCTGACTGTTACCATTTCCTTATGCTTTTGTAAGCAACACTTGCTTGGTGTCCATGTCCAGAGCTGCCTTTCTTTATGTCACAATTGCATTGTTTGCTCTTGAAAAATGCAAACCAACTGGCCTTTGGGTTTACTCTACTCTTCTTGGGACAGTCTTGCTAGCATTTAATAAAGACTTCATTCAACTTACTCAGGCCTCTCAGGAGTTTTTCTGTTCAGGCACCCTATAACACTGAAATATTCATTTTGTTCTTAAACTGCCAACATATCTTGCTCCTCCCGAGGAGCCTATTGAGACCTCCACAAGCCAAGGTGCCTCTTCCCCATCCCGCTGCCCTGCCAGGCCAACAGCAGACTGACCTGGCTGGGCGCTCTTAAAGAAGTCACTTTTCCTACTTGGTGGCTTATTCTTGGGCCAGGTGCCAATGCCCGCGTTGTTGACCAGCACGTCCAGTCCCCTGTAGTCCTTGAGCAGAAAGTCGCGCAGGGCGCGGATGCTGTGCCGGTCGTCGATGTCCAGCTGGTGGAAGCGGGCACTCAGGCCCTCCGCCTGCAGCTGCTGCAGCGCCGCCTTGCCCCGCGCCTCGTCGCGCGCGGTGAGCACCACGTCCCCCGAGAACTTCCGACACAGGTCCCGCGTGATGGCGAAGCCGATGCCCTTGTTAGCCCCGGTCACCAGGGCCACGCGGCTGCAGGACGACATGGCTGAGTGGACAGCGAGAGGCACCTGCCAGAAGAACTAATTCAGCCGACTCCGGGCTAAGATGTTGGATTGAGAGTCTGTGTGAACATCCAGAGCATTGTATGCCTGGGGACCTTCGGCCCAGAGCCCAGACTCTTAAGCAGTCTTGGGTACTGCCCTTGGCACAACTCAGTGGAGCTTCAGGGCAAACAAGACGAGCCAGTCTGAGTTAATGTTGGGTGAAGTGTCCATCTCACAGTGAGACATCACTTACTAGTGAATGTTTAGTCAGTGATGGTCCACGTGTTGGCGCTGCACATGGATTCAGTGTTTTAATAGTGTACCACAAGAGGAACTAGATAGTTTTTTAAACAGTCAGAATGGGGAACGTGTTGATAGACAGTTAAAACAAGGGAGAAAGGGTGACACCTGATTACGGAGACCCCTGGGACACTTCTAAGCCTAGCACTTTCTCTTGAAGGACACTTAGAAGGTCATGGTTGGGAAACTTAGGAGGAAGAATGCTGGAAAAGGGAAGCCAGGAATTTGCCAAACAGCTCTTGGGGCTCCTGACAGCTGCTCACCTGGCAGCCAAGAACTGTCCAGTTGGTCATGTGATTAGGTCTGAACTTTCACACCCGCTTCTCTGCCCTTAACTTGCCCGGGCTTTCCATCTTGCTTTGAGAAACGGGATCTGCCCTGACCGTTGCTTTTCCATCCTGGAGTTTATAACGTTTCTCTGCAAATGAAGTCTTTACCGCTAGTGGAGAATGAGGTGTAAAGAGTGAGTAGGGACCTAATGGCTGTATGAAAAACAAACAAATAAAGACGCAAACATGAACTGCTGGCCAGTTCTTGGCTAGGTCTCCCATAAACTGCAGGAAACATTTTTAAGTCACTGAGGGCTCACACGTCGGGCACTCGAAAGTACTCTCTGTCCCTGCAGGTCAGAACAGCTGCTTCCAGGGCCCAGGGCAGCCCCTGTAAAGTTCTTTAGAGGACATCAGGGTGCACTGTTTTGTGTTGAGATGTCCACCCTGACTGCTCCTGTTGTACTGACCACAGTCTGGGGACGAGGACCCCAGCTCACTCTCTTACCTCCTGGTTGGAGACAGCGCATGCATTGGGGGCATCCTTGGAGTGGGAATCTGCGGCGGTCATCTGTTTCTGGTGTAAGTGATTTCTCCCCGAATAAACATCCATCAGCCTGCACTGTGTCCCAGAATCTTATTTCCCACGCAACACTGCTTTATTTGCATGAATAAAATTGTATTCTTATCTACTGCACGTTGAACGCACTCCCCTTACATTCCCTGGGCCTTCTCCAGCCTCACAGTGCATTCCCTCTCTTCCCCTCCTTTCTGCTTTCATGTTATGTATGCTTACATATATATCTATTACATCTTGGATCCATAAATGGGAAAACGCATGTGATGTTTGTCTTTCTGAAGGCTTAAGTTGGTGCTTAATAGGATTACCTCCAGTTGCACCCATTTTCCAGCGGACGACAAAACCCTGCTTTTCTCTATAGTTGGAAAATTCCATCGTGCGCATGTGCCCATCCCTACATCGTTGGGTACCCAGGTTGGTCCCATAACTTGGCACCATGAACTGTGACTGAGTCAGCTTTGGTGTGCAACTGTCTCTGGGGTAACTTTCAGTGCCCTGGAACTGCAGAATTGCAATAGCAGAGTAACAGGATGGACTGATTATTCATTTTTTGAGAAATTGCCTGTCACATTTAGGGTTTTGCTGCAGCGAAGAGGTACAACCAGGGAGAGTCTTATAGAGGAAAACATTTAATTGGGGCTGGCTTACAGTTCAGAGGTTTAGTCCATTGTCTTGTTGATAAGCATGGCAGCATGCAGACAGACATGGTGCTGGAGAGTCCTGAGGAGTCTACATATGGGTTGTCAGACAGCAGGTAGAGACAATCCCTGGGCCTGGCTTCAGCACTTGAAACCTCAAATTCACTCCCAGTGACGCAGTCCCTCCAACAAGGACACACAGACCTATTCCAACAAGGCCACACCTCTTAATAGTGTCACTCCCTATGAACCTATGTGGGCCACTTTCATTCAAACCAGCACATTCCATATTGCCGTCAGTAGTGACTGCAGTAGTCCATTTCCCCTCGGGCACTGGCTATGGATTCCTTCTGCTCTGACTTGTTATTTATTTTCTGTGTGTGTGTGTGTGTGTGTGTGTGTGTGTGTGTGTGTGTGCACACGTGTGCATACCGTGTGCATGCCTGGTGCCTGTGGAAGCCAGAAATGGGCATCAGAGATCAGAGTCCCTGGAACTGGAATTACGGACAGTTGCAAGTCTCCATGTAGATACTGGAAACTGAACCAGTGAGGGCAGCCAATGCCTCTAACTGCTGAGCCATCTCTCCAGCCTCTGTTCAGTGCCTCAATGACCATCATTGTGACCTGGGGAAGATGGATTCTCAGTCTAGGTGAGGGTGCCCAACTCATTGGTTGGGTTGTTGGATTTCATGTTGTTTAGGTTTTTGAGTTCTTTATATATTCTAGATATTAATCCTTGGTCAGGCACACACTAAGCAATGATCTTCTCATATTCTGTGTGCCATCTCTTCACTCCACTATAGTTCCCTTCACTGTGCAAAAGCAATTTAATCCCACAAGTTGCCAGTTATTCACTGACATTACTTCCTGAGTGACCGGAGTCCTATGTAGAAAGTCCCAACCTGTGCCTATGTCTTAAATTATTTGTCCTGCCTTCTCCTTTCAAGTTTCAGGGTCTCAGGTACCTTCCTTCCTTCCTTCCTTCCTTCCTTCCTTCCTTCCTTCTTTCCTTCATCCCCCCCCCCACCTCTTTTGAGTTTTCAAGATAGGATTTCTCTATATAATAGCCTGGCTGTCCAGGAACTCACTTTATAGACCAGGCTGGCCTTGAACTCACAGATATCCATCTGCTTCAACATCCAGTTATGGGATTAAAGGCATGTGCCATCATGGCTCAGGTCTTATATTAAGATCTTTGATCCATACAGACTTAGTGTAAATACAAGGCTTCACTTAGCATGATGCAATCTACAGGTTTGTCTTGTATCCCTTTGCTAAGTTGAGAAGTGTTCCCTTCATTCTTAGTATCTCCTGAGTTTTCAATCATGAAGCAATGTTAGATTTTATCAAAGGCCTTTGCTGGGTCTATTGAGACGACCATGTGATTACATTGCATTTACTGATTTGCAAACACTGAACTCTTTGTCCTACTTTGGAATAAAACCAATGATGGGCCAGCTTGAAGTCCATGTTAAGGTTGGAAGTCATTGTGTTACAAGGTTGGAATAAGTTTGTTTCTGTTTACTGCAAAACGCAAGTTTGATCATGCTTTAATATGTTTCTGGAATTTGACATGCCCCCCCCCCTTTGAATGTATCCTGAGCTTCTCCCCTGATAAGATGAGGTGTTCTACCGAGGAAATCTTGAGATATCTTGAGATGTTCTGCCAAGATGGTCTGGTCTGTTAAATAATCTTATCAGCTACCTGCTTCTGTAAATTTGCTTGCTTATAAGACCTTAAGTCGCCACATTCCTTTGACAACGCAGTTTGTATCTTCTCCCTATAAAAGGAGGCCTGAAAAGACAACCCATACTGCTCTCCCCAGACCTGCTATGGAGGTTCAGTCCTGTGCATAGTAAATAATGCTTGCTGAATTGGCCTTAATGTGAGTAGCCTTTATCCTTGCTCAGTAGGATTCTCAGAGGCTCCATCAAGATTACAGCCCCAAACCCATCTCTCAGGGACCCTTTCTTCCAGTCCACCAGGACCAAAGAGCCACGTCCCCTTGGGGCACACACCTTGAAGTTGTTCCAAGGCCCAGGGACATGCTCACATTTCTTCTGACTACTGAGACGAGCAGTTTAGACAAAAAGAAGATGCCAGCAAGCACCCATCTGAGGAGCCTCTTGCTGTCCTGGTTTTGCTCTTACTCTTTTGGCTTTTGTGTGTGTGTGTGTGTGTGTGTGTGTGTGTGTGTGTGTGTGTGTGTGTGAACAACACCCAGCTTCCAAATAACTCACACACGGAGGTTTATTCTTAGTTATGAACACCCGGCCTTAAATTGGCTTGTGCTAGCCAGCTTTTCTTAAATGAACCAATCCCTCTTTTGCCTCTGGGGTTTTATCTTTCTCTATCTCTGTATCCCTTACTCTGACTCTTATTCCGTGGCTGGCTGGGTGGCTAGATGGCTGAGCCCCGATGTCTTCCTCTCTTTGTTCTCTGGTCCTCTTCTCCGTTCCCCCTTCTGTCTGTTCTCTCTGCCTGCCAGCCCCACCTGTCCTTGCTCCTGCCCCGCTATTGGCCGTTCAGCTCTTTATTAGACCACCAGGTGTTTTTCAGACAGACGCAGTAGCACAGCTTCACAGAGTTAAGCAAGCGCAGCATAAACAAAATAATCTTCCACCCCAGAGACCTCCGTTTGGACGGAACCTCCAATTCACTCCTGTTTGATCCTGAAAGCCCTCATTCCTTTCTCTCCAAACCCCATCCTCTCAGAGAATCTCTGAGAGATTCTCTGGTGGCTGCAGCGGCTCCTCCCTGGAGTTGCCAGCAGCCCAAGTCCCCACTAAAGCTCAGCTTTTGAGCATACTTAGCAGAGACACAGCTTGTGGCGGACACATGCTGTGGAGTAACCTCTCGTAAAGATTTGTCACTCAAATTGATACAGTTAAATGCTGATTGGTCAGCAGCCAGGCAGGAAGCATTGGCAGGGCTATCCAACTAAGGATGATGGGAAGGACAAGGGCGGAGTCAGGAGCCTCCAACCAGATGCAGAGGGAGCAAGACGCGCTCTGCTAATAAAGGTACCTCCGCGTGGTAGAGCGTAAATAAGGGATATGAGTTAACCTAAAATGTGAGGTAGATAGTAATAAGCCTGAGCTATTGGCTGAGCATTTAAAGTTAACATAAGCCTCGGAGTAGCTGTCAGGTTGGGGACCAGGAGGCCGGGGCAGGAAACTCCTGTCTACAGAGATAGCTCATGACATACAAGGGAATCTTACCAGAACGAGGGTCCTGGAGAAGTTGCAAAGTTGAAGGAGCCCGTGAGTATGGCTCTCAGCTTGGCTTTTCCTTTTAGTGTGAACATTGGAATGGAGCCGTCTGTGCGGCTGGAATCTCTGGAAAATGCAGCAGACAAAATGCCGTAGGTCAGTAACCTCAATGCAAAAGCAAAACTCTCACCTCAGAGACGCACACATGGAATCGTT